GATATCATCAACGTAATTAGGTTTTTCAACAACATATTTTTTGTAAACATATATATTTTTTACAAAAAATATGTTACTAAATTTGCTATGAATTGATCTGTTGAACAAAGTACGTATTAAATACTTCACAAAGTAGTTGTCACTTTTATTCTTTAAAATTGTACAGATTAAAATAAGGAATTTCAAGTGTATACAATTTTATGTAGCTCGATCGAGGAGGAAAAATGAATATTCTAGCTTTATAGAAATTTATTATTGTAATATGCAGAAATTATTATTTTTCAACCTATTGTATATGTAAAACGCACAAATACTTAAAAATGTATACAGGTTTTTATTGATGAAATATATCACAACCTGTAGACAACAAATAGAATCATATAAAAGTTACTGAAGTTTTTTCTCTCTTTCTGTTATCGTTCTGAAGTTCTAACAAGATTGTTAAGCATGTCCATCTATTTGTAATATTTAATAAATGTTTTTTTTTATGTATTAAATCTCATTTTTTTTATAAATGACTATATTTTAAAAACTAATTGTCTAAGGAGAACACAATTTTCACCAATGACACATTGAGGATTATATGTTTTATTCAGAAAAATGGAATATCAAACGTGGTCTTTAAAATCATATTATACTACACATCTAAACCACTCTTTCTTTCAACAATATGATGTTTGGAAATTCAATAAAATGCGTGTCGATGAGCAGGATCGTGTGACTGGTGTTCGATTGTGCTATCAAAATAATGACAGCTTTACTTTGGTGAAAAGGCAATTTCAATTATGTCCACTTTCTTGTGGATTAACACCTTAACCAATTAATTCGTCGACTCGAAGCATCTAGACCTATAAGAGATTCTCCTCGTTCTGGGCGACCATCTGTATCTGTAGAAATAGCAGTAAAGGAGGCTTAAAGTACTCATAATTAGAATTAGAGGCATATTTTTGTGTGGTAGCAAATGGAAGAAATACTGGTTGAGAAAGTGATTTGCCACAAAATGGATAATAATAATAACACTAAAGCCCAAAGCTTAACACTTTCAATACCTGCATGTCGTTAAGGTTAAGGATGGTAATCTACTTTTGCGAACATACTTTACACATTGTTGGTCGATAACCAATAAAACGTAGTTAAAAAACATTAATTAAGCAGATGAAACTCACTTTCACCTTACTAGTTACGTTATCTCAAAACATGTTGTCTCCTAGGCCTAGCATTTTTATCATTTGTTTGTTTGTTATGAATTTCGCGCAAAGTAACACGAGGGCTATCTGCGCTACGCATCTCTAGTTTAGCAGTGTAAGACTAGAGGGAAGGCAGCTAGTCATCACCACCCACCCCAACTCTTCGGCTACTCTTTTGCCAATGAAAAGTGGGATTGACCATCACTTTATAACGCCCCCACGGCTGAAACGGTGTGACGGGGATTCGAACCCGCAAATTGCGAGTCGAGCGCCCTAACCACCTGGCCATGCGGGCCCTTTATCATTTATACCTTACTATTTGAAGTTGTTCTTGAAACTAACTGCCAAAACTGTTTCGGTAAATAGAGTTCGTTACAAAAACATTTTGGAAGAATATGTCATTCCATACATTTAGGAGTAAAGCATTGGGAACATCACTTTCAGACAAGACGGCGCAACCTCTCATATCTCATGTCCCATTAAAACAGGCTTCTTACAGAATCTTTCAAGAAAGGTAAGATTATAATCCCATCATTCAGGCAGAACTAGGCTGTAAAATTCTCGAACATTGTACCAGGACGTTTGTGGGTATGAACTTTTATCAGGGCCAGATTAAGACCACGGTGGGCCAATAGGCAACTACAATTCTATGGACCTCCCTTTCTTTACAAGCCCCCAATTTTTGGCATTAAAATTTTACTCATCAAAATAACCTTTTACCATATGTAATGCTGAAAATACTACAGTTTCCAACTTAAAATTTTTTTCTTAGAAGACTATTACAAAAACGCGTAAACTATGGGCTCCTTGACATATACTCTACCAATGGAATAATCCGACCCTGTATTTCCTCAATGAAAGTTTCTATTTGGATAGCTCAAGAAATTTGTAAGATCTGAAAATGACATCCCAAGCTAGACTGTAAGGATCAATGGACATTGCTCCAAACAGATTTTCATTGCAGTTGCTTCATCTAGAGATAGACTTAATATGTTAACAGAAAATGGCGGGAAAAATTAACTTTTTCTGTGATAGTTTTGTAACACTGTAATATGCCTAAACTTTATGAATAAAATCTAAAAATCTCATTTTAGTTCCCTTAGAACAAGGAGTTTTAAGATATAATTATTTCAAATATTGGGTTTTCTTTATAATCAACTTGTATATATTCTTTGCCATATGTCAAGATTAAAGACATTTCACTATACATTCTGTATAGAACATGGAAGCTTTTTCACATATTTAGCACCGAATACTTTGTCTGAATGGGAACTGTAAAGTTAAATTCATTATACGGCAGGTTTACCTTCTTGTTATTCGTTTACAAGTACAATATTCGTATTTTCTCTTTTGGTGTAATCTGTGTGAATAAATTATTCCTAGCTTCACGCTCACTTCAAACGATCTTAATTAATCAAGAGTCTTTACTAAAATCGAACTACACCATTAACTTTACATTATTCATGGCTCCCCGTGGCTTAGCGGTAAGTTTCTGATGGTTTATAACGGTAAACTAGGGTTTAGATACCCTCGGTGGGTAGAACACCGATAGCTACCATGTGTCTTTGTGAATAATAACAAACAAACATCATCCTTGTGTTGTAATTTAAGCTTTTCGTCACTAAACACTTACGCATTCGTATGTACCTGGAAACTTTATAATCTCGCATTTTTCATGGTAATTAAGTTAATGTTTTCTTTCTTAAAATCAATATTGCGACTGAAATAAGTTCTTCCATTCTTACACCGTACAACAACCTACCGTCTAAATGCTATTTTAGATAACCTATTTCATTAAATTTAATCTACGTAAAATATTTAGATTTATTCAATGCAAAATATTTATGTAATTTATTATATCATTGTCTCCTGGAAGGCAAAAGGTAAGTTTACAGACTTACAACGCAAAAATCGGAAGTTTGATTCCACGTGCTAGACACATCAGGTAGCCTAATGCGGCGTTACGCTAAAACCAACGGTTATTACGTCAGCAAAACTTTGAATTCTATCTCAACAATATATTCAATGAATTATTATTTTTTTGTCTGTTGAAACAAAATGTTTCACTTCTTAAATGTGACAATATTTTCCTATTTCTTAAAATGTCTCAAGCTTAAAATTATTTTAAGAAGCCACATTGTTTTATTAATAGCATGTAGCTTCTTAAATTAAGTTTAATTTTCAGAAAATAGACGTTTAGTATTATAATCCTCTAATGGCTCAGTGGTAAATGTGCAGACTTATGATGCTAAAATTCGGATTTCGATACCCGTGGTGGGTAGAGTACAGATAGCCCATTGTGTAGCTTTGTGCTTAGCCTAAACCAAATGTTGACTATATAATAACAATGTTCCTAATATTTGTATTCATTATCTCGCCTTTTTAATGATTATTATTTTTTCATGAAAAGGAATGAACTATTCGTTGAATGGAGTTTAATTGGACACCAAATGTTCATGAAGGAAATAAGATTTAATTAACTCCTTGCTTACCTCAAGAGTGCACTTGATATCTCCTCCCCCCCGCTATTTCTATTCCCAGAGTCTATATAAGCGTACATTGATAACATTTTTTCACTCTTGACCCAACAAAAAATATGATTTGTAGGCCTTTCTTGAACAAATGTACAATTTTTGAAATTTGATCAATTCCTTATTTTTTCTGAATTCTGGAAATAGAAAATGTCCTTTCCAGACCAGCCAACTTTACCAACTTTTGGCATTTCAAAAATCCTCATTATATACATTTAATCCAGAAAAGGTATATTCTGACAACTAAATGTTTTTAAATACTTCTGTGGATTCCGATAATTTTGTTCCCGAACGTGTTCTAAAACGAAATTGACGTTAAACGTCCAAAGACCGTCATGTTTTCGATGTTGCTATTTGTCAAGAACAGCCTGCTTCGTGAACTGGTCATTCGATACTTTTCGATCCATTTAATCCATGTGTCTTCTTCAAAGTGTGAATGTAGAGAAGTGGATCGAAACCTTGTTTAATGACTAGTTCACTGAGTAGGTTGTTCAACAGTTTTATATTTGCTCTATATATATATATACATGTATATATATATATATATATATGCCTTTTAAGGTGTTATCATTCTTTGGAATGATGCTTAAGTTAAGAAATCAGTATTTCTGTAAGTTATTTGATTTTAATCTGAATTTATTAGTTATATTTTAACAAAAAAAATTCATTTATTTGCGTATACAAATAATTACACTTCATCAACACCTAAACAACTTAGTATATAACATTCATGACATAAATCGATTTTAGTTGCTTATGTGAAATCACTAGATCAGAAGCAATCTTATTGTTATAACCAGTTATTCTACTGAAAATGAAACATTTTAATATAGAACGAAGACTATTATAATGAAGAATAAATACGAAGAAAAAGGAAAATATCCTCCCTAAAATAAAACGTTTAAACTGGTCACTTGATGTTTTTATTAAACAATACATTTACTTTTAAAAATTCTCTCATTGTTTTTGTAAAGGAAAGAGAAAAAAAGATGATTTTAGTTTATTTATTATAGAAGTAATTATTTTTTCTAAGTACATAAGTTGCTTTAAAAGGTTTTTTTTTAGAATCCCCTTGTTTTTTGTAATCAAATGAAGAGTAGAGAAATGTATACATTTAGTTCGTTTATTGGGTAAGTATTTTTGTTTTATTTTTCTGGGTAAGCAAATCCTTAAAAGCTAAAATTAATTCATATATTATTTAAATATTACTATCATCATTACTATTTCTGGCATTTTGAGAAGCTTGACAAGAATCAGTACAAACACAAATTCATTTACTCACTTCTGTGCCTTGGCAAACAGTAGATTAATTGTTTCCCAAAATGCAGTAAACACAATTTAGATACAATGTTTAATACGACAGAAAGATTCAAGAGGCGAGGGAACGTACGCTTCTATTCAGTCCGAGGTGAAGTTGTACTTATTCGAATAATCAATATGGTACTGAAGGAACAGCCATCGAAGTTGCTTGCACCTAAGGCGTGATCACTACGGTCGTTAAAGTCCGGTAGACGGGAGAGTAGCAAGGAGATTACGTGCGTATATCACGCGAAATATTAGTCAGTGCCCTGCTTTCACGGGAATACGTTCTGTATTTCACCAAACCTGGTAATATAAAATAAATGTCTACACACACACACTTTTTTATGCTAGTTGTCGTATGGAGTACCGAAAATATTACATATTGTCTCAATTATAAAAGGCAATTTCCTATAGTGTGTTTACATAGATTAATAATAGAAATACGTATTAAAAATTAACTAAACTTTACAAACAAAAAAGAGCAACTTAAGTAAAGTACAACAAGATAACCTGGTATATATATTTTTTTATTTCCTGTGCGTTGTTTGGTTTTCAGGGGAAGTTTGGTAATAGTATTTGATCTATGTTAGAACGATTGTTTGTCTGCATGCAATTTAAATGTTTGTACATGTATATAGGCCTTGATTCTCGACTAAAAAATACAAGATGTCCACAAACACAAGCTTAATACATAAAGAAATGACATAACAATGACAACAAAAAATGTTCAAACATGCTAACCTAATGGTTAACAATTGCTTAGTATGATCTTTTCTACAGTTCCTGTCAGCCCCATACTAACCTAATGCTTAAAGATTCTCCAATATTATCTGTTTTAAAGGTTTTGTCAGCCCCATTATAACAATTTTGGAAGCCTTAAGATCTCAAGAGATTTCAAAAAGTTACAGCCTCTGAGTGGAATTAAGAGAGATTCTTTATGTTTTTTTATTTCTTTCTCTAAAAATGTTCCCATATGTTTCTTCCTGTAAATGATTGTTTTGCTTTTCACAACTTGTTTGTTAGTAGCTAAACAATGGGTTGTGTGTTCTGTATCAACCCGATTTTAAACCCTGTTATGAGCCCTAAGACTTTCCATTGACCCATCATGGGGCTGCAACGTTTGCTAGTATAATATATAGTAACGGGCTAAACAATTGCCAAGCTCAGTTTGCAATACACTTAAAAGGATACCAAAGAAGGGGAAAGGGATGACGTTCTGAATACCAATTTCATTTGTTACGTCCTACTGATTTATTTCAAGCCAACAATCTTTGTAAACAGTAAAATTTTGCTAAAAGTTTTGATAAATTAGTTTTTAGCTGTATTTGTTCCTGCTCATAGAAACCCTGAATTATTGTAGCGTGTGCAATGCGTTGTACAACGCTACTGAAATGAAAAACAATAATAATAACTTTCACAAATATTTTATCAGTGTTCTTTGCATAACTCACGATAGTGTTTCTCGAAACTAAATTAACCTAAAAGAGGGAATTGAAACAAATCAACAACATGTTTAATGATTCTTTACTTATAGTAACTGTTGACAAATTAACTACAACAGTATCTGTTAACGCAGCCTTAGAGTTTATTTCATATTTCAAACAGACAAAAGATGTGTGTATAATCGTGTTTACATTGATTAAACTTTTTATTTTTTGCTCTTTTCTATCGCGGTGGAACGGCATGAATCAGAACTACATTTTCGCATTATAACGTGTTTTAGGTAGTGTGAATACTCTGAAACTAAATCACTTTTGAGAAGGATAAGTAACAGCTCTTTTCGGCGCAAAATATTTTTACATTCACATCATATAACTGTATTTAGATGGGAAATTTATAATTTCCAAGCTAGAGGTATCCCTTATACTAAATAGCATTAGAAAACAATCGAATATGGATCCACTTGGGGCACCAAGACCATCTGGAAAGAGACGTGCAACATATCGTGCTTCAATCGTTGTAAGCCTAGTAGGGCGTTTTATAACAGGTGAAAATACACAAACACAGGAATCAGTGTCAAAGTCGTTTACCTGTTTTAGGCAACATTATGCAGCATAATCAAGGATGATCTCCTTTTGTAACAAAATCAACAAGGTACGGTTCATCAGAATAGGGCTTCCAGTCATACCTCTCGTTCAATCGTCATGTACCTCAAGTAGTTGGAGAATGAAATTGGTATTCTTATTATTCCATATGAAATCATACTGCAGGGCCTGTGAATATCTTTGCTATCAGACTGTTGAAACGGGCACTGGAAAATCATTGCGCTCGTATATACACTAGACGTATTATGAAAAACCTGTAGGGCGAAGTAGTGTGCTTTGTGCATGACAGACTTACTATGGAGCCGTTTTGCAATACGGATACAATTCAGGACTATTGTCAAGATGCATGTTCTCCAGAAATTGCATGATCGGATGTTGTGACTCCGACTCTAAGAAAGCTGGGAATTTCCAAAATAGTTTTTGTATGATGTACTTAACCCTTTTTACAATTGCAATCCCTGTATTATGATATATGATTTTTAGTCAGTGACAAAGCATAGTACACTGGAATGTGAATAAAAAGCGATATAATTGTCTACCATACAACTTTTTATGCCTTCCTCTTCCCGGTATTATTCGACGATTAATTGAAAGCTGTTCTATATAGTGTACGCACCATTTTTACAAAAAAATAGACACGAGTGAAACAAATTCGTGTGTATTGTTCAATCTTTTCAACATCATTCAAGGTTCATTCATATACCGTTATTATCTGCACCCATTAATAAACATTTATTAAATGTCCACGTCTGCGCAATTTTATCAGCAGACTACTAACACCCATTGACCACCAATATTCAATTAATTTTCTGAATACTGATTAACAGTTACTAATAAACAATCAGTGTCCTCACTATGTTAATTGTCTCCACATCAATTAACGAGTATTCATTAACCACTATCACCTGCTTGTTTGTTTGTAGTAAGCACAAAGCTAACGCAGTTACCTGTGCTGTGCCCACCACCATTTTTAGTGTTATAAACTTTCAGACTTACCTTTGAGCCACTGGGTTTAAGCTGGTAAACTACCCATTGTGAAGAGCTGCTATGTTTACTTATTGTCTTGTTATATGGGTTTAAGCTGGTAAACTACCCATTGTGAAGAGCTGCTTTGTTTACTTATTGTCTTGTTATATGGATTTAAGCTGGTAAACTACCCATTGTGAAGAGCTGCTTTGTTTACTTATTGTCTTGTTATATGGGTTTAAGCTGGTAAACTACCCATTGTGAAGAGCTGCTTAGTTTACTTATTGTCTTGTTATATGGGTTTAAGCTGGTAGACTACGTATTGTTGCCGGTAACAAAAGACAATCGTTTTGAAGGTTAGTTTCTTAAAACGTGAACGTCACATTCTTTTGTACATCATGCCCTTCTAGTAACATTTTTAGCCTGACCTGCCGTATAACTGAAACTAAAGTTTGAAATGACCTAATTAGCAAGGAATAAGGCAACAAGATTACTGTTGTTTACCTATTGTCTTACAATATGGATTTAAGCTAGTAGGCTATTTATTATGAACGATTACTGTTGTTTACCTATTGTCTTACAATATGGATTTAAGCTAGTAGGCTATTTATTATGAACGATTACTGTTGTTTACCTATTGTCTTACAATATGGATTTAAGCTAGTAGGCTATTTATTATGAACGATTACTGTTGTTTACCTATTGTCTTACAATATGGATTTAAGCTAGTAGGCTATTTATTATGAATGATTACCGTTGTTTACCTATTGTCTTACAATATGGATTTAAGCAAGTAGGCTATTTATTATGAATGATTACCGTTGTTTACCTATTGTCTTACTATATGGATTTAAGCTAGTAGGCTATTTATTATGAATGATTACCGTAGTTTACCTATTGTCTTACTATATGGATTTAAGCTAGTAGGCTATTTATTATGAACGATTACTGATGTTTACCCATTGTCTTACTATATGGATTTAAGCTAGTAGGCTATTTATTATGAATGATTACCGTTGTTTACCTATTGTCTTACAATATGGATTTAAGCTAGTAGGCTATTTATTATGAATGATTGCCGTAGTTTACCTATTGTCTTACTATATGGATTTAAGCTAGTAGGCTATTTATTATGAACGATTACTGTTGTTTACCTATTGTCTTACAATATGGATTTAAGCTAGTAGGCTATTTATTATGAATAATTACTGTTGTTTACCTATTGTCTTACTATATGAATTTAAGCTAGTAGTCCGTTTATTATGAATGATTACTGTTGTTTACCTATTGTCTTGATATATGGATTTAAGCAAGTAGGCTATTTATTATGAATGATTGCCGTAGTCATCTTCTTGATCATTAGCCCGTATTGCACCATAAGTTAACCTATTAGTAAGATCTCACTATAAGTTACAACAAATCAGATAAGAGAGAAAATGAATCCCAAACTCTAATTGCATTCATTTCAACGCTAGTAAAAAAAGGTTTTCAACAAATAGTAACTGGTTGTCTATCGTTTTGTACAGTAAAATACTTACTGAATGTAAGCTTAAGGAAGCGTGAGGAACACGTAAGAGTGAAATTAAATCTTATTTGTTATGATGAGCTATATAGCACTGGCAAAACAAAGGCATTCATTGTGTAATGCTTATTTTTAATTGGACATATTTCTATTATTGACGCTATATATACTTAAGTATAAACCTAACAGGAAATATGTTTTGTAATATAAGTTTTGAATTAATCTTCATGTAGCCCAAGCCAGGATTTCAAACTTCTGAAAATAAATTATTCTATCTATTCACTTGAAATCATAACAACCCTCGAAATGTTGAAGAAACTGTTCAGAATATTAGGATCTTTCAACAGCGTTCATATTCTATTCACGTTTATATATAACTCGTCACTTTGATGTTCATAGCTACAATCATTTTCGGAAAGTTGATAAATGTAATTTTTCTGAGCGCAAGTTTTTAATATAGCTTAAAAATAAACGTGATTTTGAGAATATAACTAAGTTTCGGCTCAAACATATCAATTTCTCTCTCTCATGAAAGTCCCCCAGTGGCACAGCGGTATGTCTGCGGACTTACAACGCTAGAAACCGGGTTTAGATACCCGTGGTGGGCAGAGCACAGATAGCCCATTGTGTAGCTTTGTGCTTAACTTCAAACAATAACTCTCATGAAAAGTTTTCTAACATTTTGGGGTAACTTTTCTCTATTTTTGTTTCCCTTCCCTTTCTCAGTGCGATTAGTCAATTTTTTTTAGAATTT